GCCGCTGCTCCGGCCGCATCCTGCCGACACCCGCCAATCATACTCCCCACTCACCACAATACCCACTGCCTTTGCACTTTGCAACATATTCCCATTATTATCGAATTTGCTTATTGTTTATAGGGGCGTTATTTCATAAATTAACTAAAATAATTACTCAAAATACCTAATTAAAAATGTAACTATGACATAAATTTAAAATAAAACAGATTTTGTCTTTTTGTCAAAAGGCAAATTACATATTGAGCACATTAACAACACTATAATAGCATGAGTTTTAATGTCAATTTATAAAAACTTAAGTTAACCCTAAGATGGTGGGCTTAAGTCAAGCCATTGCTGTGCACAAAGTGGTATGCACTTAGTGCCATCTTGCCATTACTTAGGAGCATGCCCCTTCACAAAACAAAAAGTTGATATTCCGTTGTTTATTGCATGTTGGTTGGATCAAAACAAAACAAAACTGCTGTACTTGTTTGCATTTCACTGGAAAGATAAATAACTCTTGATTTTAGTTTTTAGTACATAAAGTCAACATTTAGGTTTACCTGAATTTCTAGTAAGAACATTGTGTTGAGACCAGTCAAGGATATTTGGTTAGTTGTATTTAATATTTATAACACTTTTGTCGCCTTATTGCTGATAAATGATATTTGAGTGTCATCACCATGCCACCTCAATATAGACATGCCATAATTACTTACTAGATTTATATAAGAATTATTTTCTATATGTTTAATATCACAATCAATGGGCACAGCAGTCTTCAACAACAATAAACTCATCACAACTAAAAATGATGATTAACAAATACTAAATATAAAGAACATTGCAATACAAAGTTAAACAAAGAAAATACCTCAATAAATACATTGGCAATCAAACAGCAATATATATTTTGAGTTAATGTGCGTCGTATTTACACAATGCGCAATAATTTACTTTCGCTTCTTTTCATATCAAAGAAATTGTATATTTTACTATTAAAATATACTGATAATAAACATTAACCATCAACATTACATTCGTGATTTAAAATAAGCGTATAACCGAAACATGTATTATTTTAATATTTCGATTAAATAAAAGGTCAAGTGCACACAGAAACTTACTTCTCGAGAACAGCCCGCAGCTTCTTGGAGAAGCGTGCACCCGGCACGCTGTTTCTGCACTCCAACATCAGCTCGGTGAACACCGCATCAGGATTTTTTACATCTAGCTTTTTGTTGCCCGCTGGTTTGCCGGCGTTCGAGCCGGGTCTCCACATTTTTAATAGCACTGAATCACTTATCCTTTCCCTTGAAAATTTAAATAAAACGTTTTAATAGTAAATACACCGACGCCTTAAGGCTTCAGGCTAAAGCGAGTACCGGCCAGCGCCTTTACCTAGACTCTCACTCAAAGAATATAGTAAATGTACTTGCCTCTAACAAAACAAATTTAATTTATATCATTATAAAAATCGACACCACTGACGTCAATGTCACTTGGCAAAGTTATTGATTTTCCAGGATTTTCTTTGTTGTTTCATTTCAATGGTGTGACCAGATTTAGAAGTTTTGCGATATTTTAGTACAGTACAGGAGTTTAGTTATAGGAGATGCGAAAAATGGTTCTGTTACACATCCGGAAAGATAGCAAAGTAACGGATTTGTTTAGTTTTTAATTAAATTGTATAATTATTGCAAATGAACTTGTTGTATTTGTCTCTAAGAGGTTACATGAAGTCCTGTAAGGCTGGATTGACATTTTATACTCTTTGCCAACCACGATGAACTTCTGTCATCTATCAGAAATCAGATGTTTTATGTTATTGTGACAATTTACTGTTATTTTGAATTTGAATCGTTTAAATAAATCTACAAATAACGTAAGTTCAGAAAGCCAACACCAGTCAAAACCAAAGAGACAACGATTAACTATAATTTATTGTTGGTTTCATTGTTTAAAGTAGCAAGAATATGTTAGATGACGAACACGATGAATTACCACTGGTTTCAGTCGGCAGCGGGAACTATAACTTAGTAAGTACCTATAAAAAAATAAGAATGCTAGAAAAAAAATAACCGAAACTGTTTAGAACATTTTTGTCTGAACATCTTGATAAACTATTTTTCAGAGTAATTTTTCAATGCCACCTGCCGATGTTCTAGCATCGCAGAGGGCTCGAGAACAAGAGTGCGAGCGGGAATTGAGACTACTCCGGGAGCAGCACGCACCTGACGATGACAAGTGTAACTTGGAGGAGCTTCAGAGCACACCTAGCAACTCGAGTGAGTTGGATGGGGAGCTAGCATATTTAGAAGCTGCAGATGCACCGACAAGGCTCGTGTCGGTCAACATGAGCGATCTTATAACGCAGCTCATCGCAAATCTGCCGGAGAGTGACACACAATTTTTAAAGGATTATCTAATAGTACTACAACAGAACTCTCCGGATGTAATAAAATTAGTCAACAAAGAGGTAAATATTAGAAACAACAGCTACAATAGGATCCCATAAAAGCATTAAATTAAATAGTCTGTCAGTATTAATGTGTTTAAAATTATTTCTGTTTTGTAGATGTTACATATGATAGAGGTGGGGCTGGCGGGGGGATGCGGCTGGCTACAGGGGGCAGTGGTGTGCTGCAGTGCATGGCTGTGTGTGCAGTGCCTCG